AATGATTGTATTAGGTTGGAAGGAAAGTTCCTTAACACTTGTAGCTCAATTTTTGAATTTATTTTTTTTATTCTTTATTTATTCAATGATCCATAACATATTGACCATTAGATACAACAACACTACGCCAACCTTCGGCATTTGGGTTTTTTATTGTTTTTTTGGGTGACACCGCAGAAATTAGAAATTAGGAAGATTTTTGCCAAACAACCTTCTGGTGTCGGATTTGCGCTCGTTTACGTCGTCGAGCTTCCTGTTCTCCAGGTAATGAGCAAGCGAGCAGGAAAGGTTGAAGAGGTGTATAGATAGGTTGACGAATATGAAGACGGGCAGCCGCGGTCAGCCTGGCTTCACAGTCTTGTGGCTTGGACCGAACACCCGCGAACGTTGCGCGTTGTCGTGAAGCAGGTTGACTTGTCGCTATATTCGGACGCAGCCTTCGCAACTCTCGACACTACATTGACCCTTGTACTCGTCAATCCTCCAGACAGATCATCACCCGTGGGAAATACCGTCAAACGTCAAAATGGGCAGTAGTCGTGTGTTGCGTCAGAAAGATCAAAGTCTTCGCTGCGGAGCGTTTAAACCAAGCCGAAACCGCCATGTGAGAGAACGTGCCCAGGCCTATCCCGGGACTGATCCTGACCACCTCTGGTGGGCAGATCTCTCTAGGCGGAGCTCTTACAGAATGAGCGCTCGGAGTGTCTGGCGGGAAAAGTTGATTTAGTGCCATGCAAACGCCATTATTGGGAAAGCTGATTTGATCACCGTACGTAGCACGGTCCACTCCTACTATATACCACCCATGGAAGATTCCAGAGCATTCGGGAGAAATCCAGAAAGAGCGCGAATTGAGTGTTAAGGAACTTTCCTTCCAACCTAAATCAATACTCATGGATGGTATCACAAGTAAAGAATACATAGAACTTCTTGGGGTGTCCACACACTTCTCTATTAAAAACGGGGCTCATTCGATTGCGATTGGCCTATTAGAATGCAAAGGCGGGCCCTGTGCAGTTTATCCTCTTTGTCAAATATGGTAACCCTTATTGACCGGGGGACCCCGGAATATGAATTCGGTGCACCAAATGCATGTGACTTAGAATTGCTCGCTGATACGAGGCGTGTGAAAAGCGCACTTGCACCACACTAAATTTCCGTACAGATTCATAGCCTTTCGTAAATATTTAATGATTTAATGATTTATTATCGGAAATCAAACGAAGAACAACAAGTTAAAGTTCATGATTATATGAAAATGTAAGAAAATAAATTGTGGTCGTGGATTAGGACAACAAATTTGTGAAGGGCAACGTGTACAGCAGTTTTACCGATATCGAGACGGTGTGTAAGCTTTCAGGAATGGAAAACGTTTTGTGTCATGGCGATTTATGGTCCATGAACGTGCTGTGGAGGCAAAATGGAGGTGCCCTCAACATGGCTGCTATTGTGGACTATCAGGTAACTTTTGAGGAATCTCTGGGACAAATCTAAGCGCTATCGCAAGATACCGGGACATTGTAGTGGCAACGCAGTCAAAACTACGTGAAACATCTCTTTTTATTATAGAAAAAGAGGACTACGTCTAACGATAAGGCATAGGAAAGAGAGCTCAGGGTGAACAAGTATATCAGATTCCTCAAACTTTTTTGGCCCTCTTGAGCTTAGTGCTAATGCCCCTGTATCTTGCGATAGCGCCGAAATCTGATCCCTATATAAGCTTAGTCCTGCTATCGGAACACTTCAGAGAGCCCATTTCGGTTGTGCGGCAACCGATCTTGTACGGGATATTTGGCGCTTGTCTGAGCGGTAAGGATCGGCAAGCGCATTGGGAGGAACTCTTGGAAGAGTTCTACGGATATCTCAAGGAAGAAGTGGGTGACAGAAAAATGCCATACACACTCGAGCAGGTTGGCACTTCAGGAACATCTACCCTATTCTTTTTTTCAAATTCAATGGATTCAACCTTCTATTATTTCCCAGCTCAAAGAAGCCTATCGCCAGTACTTCCCCATCGGTGCTTTCATGATAGTGGCTGTGGTTGGACCATTTTTCGAGATGGTGTGTAAAAGTTCCGACGAGGAGACCAAGAAGAAGGTACCATTACTGTTACTTCAGAAATTTGGAGGCACGCAGCGCGACTTTTGGCCAGTTAGAACAGCGCTACCACAACTTTAGACCGACATATCAGTGCCATCCCCTTTGAAGGAATGTTGAACTTGCTCCCGTTACTCCCCTTGCTACCAATGTCGCGATCCATCACAGTTTTCCCTATGTTTATACATTCCTGGCCGATCCGATGGAAGATGAATTTTTGCAGTGTTTTGGCTTTCTAGGCGCTTTGAGATTATCTCAGAGCGCTCTCTCTCCATTTGAATGAGAAAGTGGTGCGTCAAGGAGAGAGCGAATCACGAGAACAATCATGCTTATCCCAGTCTCAAAACTGTTTTAACCCCGAGTTACAAA